GGGGCCACAAATGTTTGGTGGAAGGCGTTGAGTGTTGGCAGAGAGCACAAAGGTGATGGGGAAGCGGAGTTGCAAGGAGAGCCCTTGTGTCAAATCCCTGTGTAACTGCTCCGGGCGGGTCTTGAGTCACTGTTGCATGCTTAATGTTAGGGAGAGTATCCCGCGGCTGTGCTGCACTTAACGGCACATTGATTTCAAACCTCCGCGTTCCCTCTGGAGGCCCGTGGGACACATTTGAACAGGGGCGAATCACCACCACTCCGCCCCGATTGACTCCCCCATTTACTGTCTGCACAACTCCTCCCGCTATCTACTCAACTCGATGTCGGTTTGGATACACCATGCTGGTCATTGCCCGCTTTTGCCCCACTCCCCTTTGAGTGTCTCCAAGGAGTCAAACTGGATTTAAGGGGCAACTTGGCTTTCCACAAGATACCACATGAGTGATGTTTGGAGTAGGACACAAAGAGGCAACCATGTGGAAAAGTTATGAATCAAAATCAATGCGATGGCACTTTGGGAAGCGCCAACAGATTTAGGGATTTCCCTTCCCCTTTCTCTCCCTCTCTTGGTACCATCAGAAGGTATCGCCACTTGGGAACAAAGCAACATGCAGCGAACCCTTTTGGGTACAGAAGGGCTGTGAGGTTTATGGCGGCAAACGCGGCACGGTCAATACTCATTTGGTGACTTGAGTAAAAGATTTTGACTTCTCTTTTCCAAACCAAACATTATCACGTGACAGCAAATATCGCTGATGTAAGTATCAAGCGTTTATGCACTGGGTTGATAAACTTGGTTGGTGGTGGTAGTTATAGCAAAAAAAAAAACCTAAGCAAAAAAACTGAATCCAGAGGCCCCATAAGACATCGGCAACTGTGTGCATTTTTATACACGTTCTCTTCCGTCACTAGAGAGAAGTTGGCGCTCATCCTCTCGCCGGTAAGTATGCGCTGGAGCCAGCTTGCTTCAACTTGCAGAAGCAGAGCCTTAAGTGCGTGTCAAAGTTTTTGCCTTTTTCCCCATCGTATGGCATTCGGAAAGAAAACTTTTATTTCTCCAATCATTGCAACACCTCACAGAGAATGTTTGTTTGATTCTCATATTCACTTCACAGGTGGATGCCGACACTGCTTCTTGCACTTGTGTAATTTCTGACTCATCTCCCAGATGCATTATTTAGATGCATGTGTCTTGGCTGGTACATAGCACACTTCTTCCTTGTGTGCTAATAGGCTCTCAGTATCTTTACGATTCAGGGTACAATTAAGAGGTGAGAGTTTGAGCTCCCACTTTTTCAGTTCTATTTCAGAGCTACTGAGTGATGATGCCGGAGGTTGATGGGCGAGTGAGGAATGAGATCTATTTTTACTCGTTATTCTGCGAACATATTTTAGTTTAGAAAAGTTCATGTTACCCGAAAGAAATGTAACAATACAGATGGGGAATTGTGTTCCATTAGGCCAATTCATATGCATATATAATCTAGGTATAAAGATTTAATTGGCCAATCAAAATCGGGTTTTATATTAGCAGTAAAAGCCAGCAAGGTGCGGAAAACACCCATGGGAGATTTAGTTGGAGTAATTATTTAGCAAGGAATCACCAGAACCAAAGGGACACCGTATGAATAATGGATTACAGTAAAAACAAGTACCTTCAATAGCAGGAAGAGCATTGTTGATAGAACACTGCCCTCTCCTGGTGAATATTTGTCAAAACATTTTTAAAAACTCAACGAAGATTAGGATTTATAGAAGTTCTGTTTTATATATATATATATATATATATATCTGAAACCGTGCCTCTGTGACCTCTATTATGAATCGGTTAGACGTTATTCTGGAAAGGTACTGATACTAGTATACTAAATATACCCACACTATTCTTGGACAACATCTTCTGTAACTTTACTGTAAATACATCCTTTTATATTATAATTATTTTGGCTTGTTTTAAAGTTCTTGTTTTCTCCTGTGAGTTGTTTCTGTAGCTAGTTAACAATTTGTTCAATCAAGAATTGTTAAAAAGGAAACAATTACAGGATGTGTATGAGTGTACAACAACACAAAAAGCCCGCTTTGCCTTTCTGCAGCGAACACAAATCCAACCTTATAACGACGGCATGCGGTTTGATTGGCTAAAAGTCTACATGTTAAAATTCTATTGGCAACCAACCACTGTCAATCACTTTATAGGCGTGGCCTTCGACGTCATCGACAAACGCGCAACCGCCAGCCCTTCCCTCCGTTCACTCAAGTGTCACGCTCGCGAGTTTCCTCTACGCGACACAACCGGCAAAAAAAAAAAAAAAACCTCACCGGTAGCCCAAAGTCCAGCGGGGAGTGCGATGGATGAATCATCGGAACAAACGCGCCCCTTCTTGAGAACAGTATGTACCCGCTTTTGACAGAAAACAGTTTCTTTACCGTCACGTTTGTGTGTTTCTTTGTCTTTCTTATACGGTTGTGTTTGCTGGGCAGCTGGCTAAGCACAAGGGATGCTTCAGGCGACCAAATTCAACCGGTCTAACTCCGGCAGCTGCTATTGTTAGCCGGCTTTCTTATTCTGACACGTGGCACGGTGTTAAAGAAGTGGCTTGACTTCGTTAGCGAAAGGGGACTTTTGAGATTAACGCCTTCCGTGGAAATGTGTTTTGTTTCTGTGTGAGTTTGGGGGGGATACAGTAGTAATTTGCTAGCTACTGGGCTAGCCGGGTACGTGGTCGTCCAATTTTGTTCGAAGTATTTAAATACTCTAATTCTGGCAGAATTGTTTTGTCAAATAAGCATACAGTACATTTAACAAAGTTGGTATCCCATCTTCTCGCACGAAAAGTCAGTTCTCAGTCTTCCAGTTAACAGTAAAGTCGCATTTGACACATTTCTGCTTGGTTTAAAAAAATGGCATTTGACTCAGACCATATGCCAGCGATGGGTCAGATTTGTTTTCAGGAAATGTTGACTTGTCGTTTCATTCGAGAAGAGAAGACGGAACAGAAACACCGTCATAAATAAAGCATACTTCGGTTGAGCCTAGCAACAGAATCCCGGTGAGCTGTCAAAACTTCAGAACAGAAACGGGGAGCTGTTCATTTGGAGTAAAAAAATAACATAAAAATAACGGCAAACACGTTCAAACGTGCCCGCTACTACGTTCGAACGTATTTGTAGGCTGAGCGCACAAATTTATGATTTTCCCATAATGCCACGGGGCACTGACTTGGCGCATGCGCAAGTCTAAACAAAACTTTTTGGACTACAATACTTTTAAAAATTCATACAGCAGTGTATGATTTACCGTCAGCATTTCTTTCCCCAAGTCAATACCCCATGGCATTATGGGAAAAGGCTACGTTTGTCACATTTCGTGTGCAAGCACGTTCAAATGCATTTGTGAGTACGTTCGAACGTATTTGAATAAATTGAACGTGTTTGCCAGTCAAAATCATTTTACCCCACATTGGAAGCGCCAACCTTCCGTACTCCAGAGGTGTGCAAACAAATCCAAAAAAGAAACAGGTTCCAGTGCCAAGTTTAAAATACCAAAATGACTGATGTAAGGTTTCCTACTCTGTTTATGTGTGTGTCTCGGTACTTATTTGTGCATGTATACTGTAAGAATGTGCTTCCTGGTGAGGAAACATGATCTCTTCTCTGCTTAATGAAAAGAGCTCCCTTGCTCGCTGCCTACGTCTTTTTCCCCAGCCACGGAAGTCAGTGGGTTTAGTGTTACAGAGGCAATAGTTAAGCTGCTGGGATGCCGCACAAATTCTCTGTGTTCATTAAGCCAAGAAAATTCACGTCTTGAATGAACCATTGTCTTGCCGCGAAACTATTCTGCACTTCGACGTCACTGGTACCTCACAGTTGGGCTAATTTGTATAATAACAGCTAGCCAGCCTCTATACTGAAGTTTCTCTGACCATCGCATGCGTAGTGGGGCTGGGCAAAGATCCAGGGCCACTTTTAAATGAAAGCCGGAGTCCATTCACAGTTTAGGATGCTTGTTCAAATTACCCTTCACAGAACTTGACGGGTGCCAAAACTGAGATCTATATGTAACAATGACATTTTCTATCACTATGTCTTGGAATCTGCGGAACCCCTGCACGTTTTTACTACCTGTCTTCAACACACCCGAAATAGCTCCGCGACCCATTTTCGGGTCCCGACCCACCAGTGTAGAATCATTGGTCTAAAATGTTGTTGTGCAGAGGCACCATCATGCAGGAGGTTTTTACACGTTGGCTGACATGCCAGTTAATGTAAATATTAAAACGCGACTCAACCTCTTGGAGCTGGTGTAGTGATGCTCCTTTTACTGAACAAACAAGCTTGTTTGTTTTATTTTAATTTTTTCTCAATGGATAGCTGACAGACTGCATTATTTCGCACGTTCATCCTTCACTGTTGCAGGTTTTGCTGTTCCAAATTCGGTTTCACCTTTTCACCATTGCTTTGTGGCGAGTTACGGAATTAAATACAACAGCGAGACCGATTGTGTTCACACGGTGTTGTCGGTAAGGCATCCAAAACGAATCCTGTTTTATCATTGCTTGTTGCGTCTACCTTTTGTCACCCCCCCCCACACCCCCCAAAAGAATACTTGCGAGAAAGCCATTCTTTCAAGTTAAGTGAAATGTTTCAATGTCTGTGTTGTTTTTATGAATCTTAATGACTACATTCCAAGCTTCAATCCAAAGCCACCGCCTGAAGAATGGCGAGCCGTGTGCCTGTTTCCATTTATCTGCGTAGGGGGGGATTGGTTTTCATTTGTGACCTGAATACCTCAGCGGGTAAACATTTGTATGTACCCCCACACCCACCCCCTGAACGTGTGCGTATGTCCTCCATGTGTTGCTGCGTGCGTGCGTTTTTTTAGCTCTTGGCCGGGGCGAATAAAATATTTAATGATGACACGGTGGGATTGGCTGCCGAGCAAAGAGCGGGCTGACAACCGGGTAGAGCAGAGCACTGTGTTTAGATACAGCTTGTTTCTCTCTCTCTCCCCCCCTCTCTCTCTCCCCCTCTCTCGTCCTCATTGTATAAAGACACCAGCACAGAAATCAGGAAGAGACGAGTGTGATTGTGTCTGGACCGAGTGTGTTTCCTACAAGGTAACTGTCAAAAGAAGTGCTCAGGCTAAGGTCCCTGCTGTTTTTGCTCGGGTCTCAATGGACAAACAGCGCGAAGAAAAGCATGTGCTCACGGTAGGTCCTCCTGTGTCCCATCTGCAGTAAGGCTGCATGCATCGTTTGAGGGTTTAGGTTTTTTTTTTTTTTTTTTTTTTTTTTTTTGCTCGTCTGGAGAAGAGCGCGATAAAGCAGGGCATGCGCTCCGTGCACCGTGATCGAAGATGACATCTGAGATTTTCGAAAGTCAAATTCAAGGTGAAAGCGCGAGGGTGTGTTTGTGTGTGTGATTAAAGGCTGTTGTCTTATTCATTCATTCAGTCATTTGACATGGCTCCCGAAATGAATTGCATTCTAATCTTGATTGATCTCGAGGAATGACGAGGAGGAGGAACCAGCCGAGACTGTTATGGCTGCTTGAGGGAGCAGGACCAGGAGAAAAGAGAGAAGAAGAGAACACCGTTAGGGAGAGGTGGTTTAAAATGGGTCTGCCAAGGTAGTGCAACATGCAGGTGGTGCGTGCTGTTCGAACAGATGCTGTTTACCGACAATGGTAAACTGTTCAGTGCAGTTATGAGCAGTGATGAGAGTCTCTTGTAATTATGAGGATCAATATATTTGTTGCGATGCAGTCACACAGCCGAACGGATTTTTTTTTGGGGGGGGGGGTTACAATCATATCAGACACGTGGTCTGTTTCTCTCTCCCAACATGCTGCCCTGTCATTTTGAGAGTTTAGCTCACAATTAGTAAAACATTGACTTGAAAAGAGAGCTACTACGTATCTTGAATCTCACAACTCCGTTTGCAATACAACATGTAAACATTTAATTCGCTTATTTACGATGAGGCGCACCGAAAAGCATTCAATGTTCTCAAAAGCCGACAGCGCGCCGTATCATCCCATGCGTCTCATGTATGGATCAATATTCTGATTTCTTGGACATCATATTTTAAATGTTCTGTAAAGCACTTTGTTACAGCTATACAAATGTGTATTGTATTGTATTCCCTTTAGTGTAGCTCCATCTAGTGGATGCATCAAACAACCGGAGCCCCAATTGTAGCTTCTATTTGATGCGCCTTATAATGCAGTGCGCCCTATACATTTTATTGCTCTTTTGATTGTAAAGTGTCCTTGGGTATTTTGAAAGGCGCTTATAAATAAAATGTATTATTATTATTATTATATATACGAAAACAGTTTTCAAAAAGGTCATTCATTGATTGAAGGTGAGCCTGATACTCCGAAGCGCCTTGGAGTGCGGAAAATACGGTAATATTTGTAATATTTAACTCTCATCGTCATGTTATTTTAGCCGCGTTTCCATCTGTGAATTTCACATGTCCGCGGATTACAGCTATTTGGTGCCACCTAGTGTACCGGAAGCGCAAAGTGTTTCCGTATATAGTCAATGGAAATGACCCTGCTCGTATTCAGCTCAGCCCCGCGAGAAAACACACGATACAGTCGTGCGTCGAAATAATTTCGCCAAGCTTTAACAGAAATCCACAAGACTGCATACTTTCCAGATTGCCGGAGTGCATGTTTATTCCCAACAAAAATATGAGCCTCGCATGTTCTTAACAGTGTGCTTGGTACACGGTGTTCCCGACATACTCGAAGGCGTAATTAACGGAAAGCGGTACATGAACAGGTGTTATAAAATAAAAACACATTTGTGCAAATGGAATTTTAAGGCGCTTACGAAGACTAAGATTATTACTTTTTTTTTTCTGAACCAGCTTTATATTTTTGTATGTCAACACTGGATCAGGTGATTTCTAGCTAATACTTGCACTGATTGGTCGGGTTTGGTCAGTCTTCTCTTCCCAAGAAAGATTCTAGTTTGCGTTCGTTTGGTTGCATCTATATTATGTAAGCAGTGCGAACTTAATTTTTAGTCCAAAATAACTTGAACTCCCAGTGCTGTGTGATTAGTTCCCAAGAGATCCAGTCCCGTTTTAGTCGCACTTACAAATGGACTTACCTGTCTGAGGAAGGTCAAAAAGGCCACCATTTCGTAGGGTGTCCCTGGACTTTGTCACGCAAATCCACTCCGGAGGAATGCAAACATGAGACGCGCGCTTTCGAGTGCGCACAGAAACGGAGTCACAGATGGCCTGACTCTGACAATGCAGCGATTATAGTAATACATGTGGGAATCGTCATTTAAGTCAGGCTCATGAGCAGGAATGTAACATGGAAAGCAAGCAAGTGGCATATCATACATGCTTTCCAGTACAATAAAAATGTCCATGCGCTCTGTGGTGGGTGACTCACACATCGAGGCCAAGACACGAAGGGAGTGATATCATCATCGTCTCATTTTCCGTCTGCGCCTTCATCACTTTTTTTTTTTTTTTTTTTGGCGCTCCTTGCCACTTGGCACAAGCATTTCGCTGTGATCGACTGCCCGAATGGGGAAAAAAGGATAGGATTGCGTCGCACCGTTGTTTCTCAATGACACCCGGATCATGGCGCGTTGAATTCCTTTTTGGTTGAAATTTTGGATCAAAATGTCTCTGTCAGGAAGTGTCCACGTGAATGACCATATCCCCTTTTGGTGTGTCCGATCCATTCTTATCTCAAACCAGCCCATGGCAACATGAGGTCACTGTCACCCTGTGGTATTTATAAACCATGTGTGACTCTCGTCTCAAACAGGTTTATCCTCCGAGGATATCATGCTTTTGCCTGCTCAAACATTTGACATACAGTAATTATCAATTTGATTTTCGTAGCCTTAACTCTATTGTTTTGTTTTAGTCAAAGGTTGTGACATTTTGGGCCGTAAAATGGTGGCGGTATTGGTGTGACGTTATCTCAGCGGTGCGCCCACTTTTGGCATGCACGCTGCGGTAACTAAATACAGTTTCTCCTGCAGCTGTCTGAATGTTCCAACGCTTGAGGGGCGGGTGGTCAGGGGAGCACTCATGACACCTTTTTGTCATTGGACCAACCACGTATTGGGTTGAAGAGGTATCTTGCAATGTGTGCATGTGCACATTTAATAAAAATCAAGTTGATATCATCGAGACATTTGGCGCTTGTATTTATTTGATTTATTTTTAAAATCAAAGTGGAAACAACTGCAAAAATGTACTTTTTACGCCCGAAGAGAGACAGCTAATTTTCCAAAAGGAAAAAAACGGTCGGTTCTTCTGTGGAGTAAGTGGGCCAGCATCATTCAAAGCTCCTGAGGTCTTCAGGTGACCCACAATCTCATGTAAAGAGGATAGAGTCAAAGGCTCAAGCCGGTTAAAAGCAGAGCTGGTGACGGGGATTGAAGGGTCGTACGAAGAAGGTGCGATGAGAGTCGCTGTAGAAGACGTCCCGATTGACAAAAGTGAAGGAACGTGTCCCACTTCACTTCATAGGGCTGTGTCGGGTTTGGCGGGACTCGTAAATTTTATTTCTTATTTTTGTGCCGCTGATGAAATGTTGAGCAATAGATCAAAAAAATCAAAACCATCAATAAAAATGAGTTAAGCGCTGTTAAAAACAGTTGCGCTTCATAAATCTTGCCACGCACAACACAAACGGTCGAGCAGAATGAAACCGTCTTAAAGTACGTTTTTTTGTCATTCTTTGTAAAAACGTACCCGTCTATACCCTTTTGTGTGTTTTTTTTCCCCAGGGTCTAGATGAGGAGGCAATCGTTGACCACGGAAAGAGCAGCTTCACCATTCAGACAAACTACGAAAAGGACGACTTAGAAAGTAAGTCATCAATATACTCGGCCACCTGACCGTATTTAATTTCTCTTCATAAAGTTTCCTGGAGGCGGCCCGGTGATCCGGTGGTTAGCGCGTCGACCTCACAGTGCAGAGGTCGTGGGTTTGATCCCAGCTCCGGCCTTCCTGTGTGTCAAATGCTTCATCTTCCCGTTTTTCTGTCGCGCCACCAATGAGAATTTTCTTGTTCCCGCAGTTCAAAAAAATGTTTTTTTCTCCAGGCCACCGAGCCGTTTACGTGGGCGTTCACGTTCCCTTTGGAAGAGAAAACAAGCGGAGGCATCGTCACCGAGGACACAGGCACCACAGAAAGAGAAGGGATAAAGATTCGGATGACGGAAAGGAGGATGACAGGGAATCGTCCCCCTACGGTTAGAACACACCGCCTCGACGTACTCAATTGCCGCTCACCTCCACGCTGCGCTTTGGAATGAAAAGTTTCAAGTTGACCGTTGCTGCTATCACATGACCAGAAAAACATTTGATTCACTTTTACAAACGTGGTTGAACGAGTCTCTCTGAACACATTGGATCCTTAATTCACACGCCATCAGCCACATAAAATCGGTGGAGGTCAGTATTTGTAGTGTGTGAGAAAACAGACACACTAAAGTCGAGTTATGCAAAACCTAGCGTAATTTCTGGCAGATTTTATTTGTGAAGAGTTGGAGCTCATGTGCACTCTCGGATGTCTTCAGTGAAAATTAGCTTCAAAATATAAAGTCATTATGCACAAATCACTAAAAGGGTCAAATCCCAAAATACCTGTTTGAATTACGGCATGAATTGAGCAGATCATTCCGGTTAGCTTGTATCATCTAAAATTAATGTACTTTTCTCACAATATGTATGTAAATGAGTATTATTGCTGCATGTCTAATTATTATAAATAGAATATAAATATGTGCATTCCCTTTGCCCACTCTCTCAACAGACACTCCATCCCAGCGGGTCCAATTCATTCTGGGCACAGAGGACGATGACTTGGAGCATGTTCCCCATGACCTCTTCACCGAGTTGGATGAGCTCTCCTTCCGAGATGGCAGCGCCACCGAATGGAGGGAAACTGCCAGGTCAGACAAAAGCTCTGAAGAAAAAAAAACCCAAAACAGTGCCGCGTGAAATTATAGTGTTCTCGTTCCCCAAATTGCATTTTAAAAGGTGACACACGGTCTCTGTTTATGAATTGCGGGGCTGCAGAGACACACACACACTATGTCACTGAAGTACACATCACAAATATCCATCCCAAAATGTGTTGTGCAAACTACCTAGCATAGATGCATTTGTTCACCCAGCGTTGCGATCTGTACCGGTAATTCAACCTGTGAATGTGTTCATGCTTTTTCGGGATCGGTCTACAGGTGGCTGAAGTTTGAAGAGGATGTGGAAGATGGCGGGGAAAGGTGGAGCAAGCCTTACGTGGCTACGTTGTCACTGCACAGTTTATTTGAACTGCGGAGCTGCATCCTCAATGGCACTGTCATGCTGGATATGAGGGCCAACAGTATCGAGGAAATTGCAGGTAGATTCACTTGTTTAAATTTTAGTGCATTTATAACTGCCAAGTCGTGACTCATTTTCTCAAAATTAAGAACAATAAAGTATTTTGCGGGGTTGGGGGATGTAAAAAATAGTCTGTGAAAATACATGCGTAGCATGTTACATTTTTCAACGCAGTTTCAAATGAGCGTGACATCACACCAAAAACAAATTGCTAGCCGTTACGTCCGTTATTGTTTTGTATTGCCATTTGTATTTGAATGTTTCATGTCCGTGTTTGTGATCAGTTCGAATGGCTTTGTTACAGCTGCACAGGTTGTCAAGGCTCTATATAAATAAAGGTGTATTGTATTGTATTGTATTCCCTTTAGTGTATCCCCATCTAGTGGATGCATACCACAACTGCGGCCACTATTGTAGCTTCTATTCTATGCGCCTTATAATGTAGTGCGCCCTAAATTTGGAAAACAGTTTTAAAATGGGCCATTCATTGACGGAAAATACGGTGCATTTTTTTGTCATGCGCCGCCTCTCCCTTCAGACATGGTGATCGACAGCATGGTGGCGTCGGGCCAGCTCAAGGAGGACCTGCGGGCGAAGGTGCGTGAGGCCATGCTGAAGAAGCACCACCATCAGAACGAGCGAAAGCTCAGTAACCGCATCCCTTTGGTGCGCTCCATTGCTGACATAGGCAAGAAACATTCTGACCCTCTCTTGCTTGAAAGAAACGGTGAGATTCTCCGGCGCACTCGCTTTTCTTTTTGCAGCACATGATCCATGATTGAGAAAGTATTTCTAAAAAAAAAAAAAAAAAAAAAGACCAACCAAAAAAACAATGCAATGTTTATATCTTCCAACGCGTGCATAGAAGGTGGATGGTAAAAGTGAGTACCATCTCGGGATCAAACAATAGAAAAGCAACAACTCCTCAATAGAAAAAGAGAAATGTGGGTGCTGATGATTGTGTCCGTGTGGCTGGCTTTGGTTTGAAATAATGATCTTGACAAGTTTTTGGACAAGCGCATGGCTGCAGCGGTGTACATTTTAGTCAGCATTTTAAGATTGTGATCCCAATGATGTCTTTCATTCACCGTCGGTGTTGGTTAATTAGCTCTAACTGGCAACGCTAATTTCTGCGAGCCCGATCACTGTTAGCTCTGTATCGGTGTTCTGGACTGGTTTGCTGTGGAAGTTTGCCACTGATAGCGTTTTTCTTTTTTTTTTCTTTTTTTTTTTTTTCTGGCATGCAATTTGAAGCTTTGCCTAACTCGTCACATGGTTGTTTGAGCTTGAATGAGACCGTTTTTTTTTTTTTTTTTGAGCCTTGTGGACACCCCCACCCTCCCTCCCTCACTGAATCATTCTCAGTGTGTTGTGCACTGAACCATTATGTTCGCTCACTTGATGCATGTGTGAATCTCTCGAATAACATTTCCCCACTGTTCCCCCTCGCTGGCTGGCTCCTTCAGATACCATCCCTTTGATAGAGTTGGACTTCACCTGTTTTTCCCCTATCTGCTCCATCCCTTCTTCCTTTTTCTCCTTTCCCTGCCTTCTTTCTCCTTCTCACCGTTGTCTCCTCTACTAGGAGAGGGCCTTTCCTCTTCACGTCTCTCCCTCCACAAGCCAGGAGTGGCCTCTTCTGCCTCCAACCTGCCGCAGAGACAAGAGTCCCGCGTTTCCATCCTACTCAACCACCTCCTCCCATCCTCTTCCTCCAACACGGGGCGCCCCCCAGGTCCTTCTCCCCTCGCCACCCCTCAGAGCACCCCCGCGTCCTTTCGGCGTGGCTCCCCGAGCCCCCCGCGCAACCACGGCGCCGGCTTTGGCCCCTATAGCATCCCAGAAGTGGTGGTGTCTCCGCCCAAGGATGACGAGCCGCTTAAGTCGCCAGAGGACGAGGCGGCCATGCCCCAGTTCAGCCGGCAATCTTCCTGTGCATCCCAGGGATCCGAGCAGCTGCCCTTAGAAGGCAAATATCTGTGTAGCCTGCCAGTGTGAGTCACAGCTTGATCAGAAAACACTAGCACTAGCATGACGGCTCCGCTTCCTGTTAACTTTGCGGCCATCTCATCAACTATCCATTGACAAAGCTCACTTCCTGAGGCACCCTTGCTGCTTTCCAGTCATTTCCAGTGCTGTGCCGCACGCCGGCTGGTTTCTGCCACCTCAACATCTCTGACACCCCGCCCTGCACATTTTCAAAGCATTCCTTCATGTCTTGCTTGATCGAGGTTTGTTAAGACCCTTTTTGGTCAAGGTGTCATGGCCACCCGCGGAAAAAGCTCTGTGGTCCGGTTGCTCGTTGTCCTTCTCTGCCTCGTATGCGATGTGATATTTTGTCTGGTAGGTAGTTTAAGGTTGCTTTATTGTAACGCTCCATATGGGGAAACATGTCTGTCTGGTTGTACGGAAGCATCTGTAGTAGCATTCTTCTGTGCACTCAACATAGGCTTAATATAATGCGTGCGAGCAACATAGTTTGGCATACGCTTCAGAGGAGACCGGCTTTGGTGGGTCTATACGAGCAATGATGACTGCGCCAAGAGTGACGTTAAATTCCTTCCTCGTTAGTTTATCATTCGACGTCTGCGTGTGTAGGTCTGTGTTTGTCTCATTCTGGGACCGGCTCCAGATCCAAGTGTGGAACGCCGTGTCCAAGCTATCACTTGTTGAACCTGAGAGGTTGTGTGAAAGGGTCATCTTATTATAGCTGCTAAGCCTCAGTAATTGCATCCTCCTCAAGAAGGATGTATACTTTTTTTTTTTGGGCCAATGGGCAAGTGACTTGACTTCAGTGTGGGGTTTGTGTTACTTAAATGGGATTATCAAGATGTAATCATTAATCGAATTAGTGTGACTTGGTGAAAGTTTAAGGCTTGAAATAGCTGACCGCATGACTGTTTATTTAGCGGAGTGCTGGACAAGAGAAGACCTTGAATGTGTCCTTTACAGTAATTAAAAAATGGCTTGTGTGAAACTTGGTCACATGGGTTTTAAGTAAGTGGAGCCAATATATACACGCACTGAAGATTTTATTTGATTTCATTTTTTTTTTTGGAGTTGAAATAATGGAATTTTGCATCGGATTGTTTTTCTAAGACAGTACCATTTTTGAGGATGTCGCACATACAATTCCTGTCCTGGCAAAACTTATTAGGGTGACATTGACAACATACAGTCCCAGTTCTTCCGATGTAGTCTCACCAATTTCAGTTATGTATTTTAATGTTGGCCCATAGATCCGCTGAGTCATCGAAAAGGTTGGCGTGGGTGAACATTCCGCCGTTTAGCCGTCCTGAATGAAGAACTTTTAGCGGATGCAACCTAGGCTAATCCCTCTCTTATTCCAAGAGGCTTTGTCGGGTATGTGAGCAATCAGGCTCCTGTTGGGCAGTCACATCTGCCCAGCGTCTACAAACACACTGGCCAAATTGTTGGTAGCCTTCCGTGATGGTCACTGAAAGAACTTGGGGACAGGAATAATAAACGGAAAAATACAGGAAAACCAACCAATGAGAATCAGGCATGATCCAACAGAATTCAGCGGGTGAGAAGGGTACCAACAAGTTTGTCCATGTCTAATTTTACTTCAGCGCTATGAATTGCATGCTTGAATAAATGACACATTTACACATAATAAATTGGAATTAGCTGTGGCTGACTTTGCTGTTTGTTTTTATGACCGACGTGTGCTGATGCAGTTGCTGCAAATAGAGATGGGGGGGGGGGTGGATAGGCACCGGCGAAGGTATACACAGAATAGTACAACGTATTCTGTGTGGACATGACCCCCATGCTGTGTGGACATTACATTTCACGATTCATAACTAGCCGCATGTTAACCGAAGTGCTAGCGTTTCCTGTGTCAGTCTCGAATGAACCTTTTGAAACGTTTATGCAGGTGATGGATGTATGATTTGCCGTTGCGTAAGCATCCTCATGGCTCGCCGGTGTGTTTTAAACCTTTCAGGTACAGCGGCTACGACAGTGGACAGTTCATCATGTTGTCAGGTTACAGGGTGCATGAAAGGGTTCACTTCTGGTTGAAGTGAAGGCCATCCAATCAGGAAAACGGAAGAAAATGTTCTGTAGCCGCGCAAATATTTGAAGTCGAGCTTTTGTTATTTTCTCGGGGGGGGGGGGGGGGGGGGGGGGGGGTCATATAAAAATGTTCCCTGTACAACAATCCTACGTCCTCGCTCATTGTCTGTTCCCTGTTCCCCCCCACCCCCCTCCAACCTGTTTTCTACCAGGACCACTCGTTCATCTGAACTCCGTCCCGAACTACCTGGACAGTGACAAGGCAGTGGAGAGGCGGCCTTCCAAAGTAGGGGTCAGTAGAGAAAGCAGCAGTGTCGACTTCAGCAAGGTAACCTAACCATAGTGCTGAGCACAGACAGTCTCTCACGGCCGCATGGGCCATGAAGTGAACATGTCTGAACTTCCACAGGAATTGTGTTGACGATTCCCACCCCACCAAAAAAAAAAAAAAAAGAGGGAACGTCACAATTTTCCTTTTCGGCTCATTCAAGCTCCATTTTGCAAAATGTTTTGCTTTGCATGGTCTCACCATTTCACCGTTTCTGTTCCTCCTCCACAAAGCTGGCAAGCTTGCATCCAAGCTGCCATTAGTGGATTATAAAAGCACCCATTAGGTCTTCCAAAAATAAGGTGCGCTCTTTATGAGTCACGGTGTACAAAGAGGGACGGAGGCGCCGACTGCCATTGCTCACAAGAGATATTTCAGTGCCACGGCAGGAAACGCTTCACAGCTTTTGGGACAGTCTTTGCTCAGTACTCTGTCAGTGTCGATCTACAACTGTATCGGGAAAAAAAGTTGGGTTTGAGAACACCGAACTAAGCCGTGACTATTTACTATGCTGGAACGGCACATTGAATAAAAAGACGTCATATCGGCTTTATTGACAAAATGCTGCAGTTCCTCAAACGGTGGCCTCGCTTAAAATGCATATTGGACTGTAATATGGATGACATTTCATTATTTAGAATACATTTGTACACATAATCGCCTCCACCAGAATGAAAAATCGTACTCTCACTTAGATACAGACAGCAAATAAACCCACGGCCGTTGTGAGGAAATACAGCAATCAGAAAAGAGCAAATCAAATGCAAATTTTTACCTTCAGATGTGATTTTTTTTTTTTCTTCTTCACAATGAAAATATAGACACTTGATATGTTGTCCCAACTTTTCTTCTCATTTGAAGGTTGTAGATGCTAACCCTCCTTCCCTTCATGAGCTATCAAAAGCATACTAGCAACCTCCTGCTCTGCCGAACGGGCCCCCTCACCTCCCATCCCTCGCATTTTGCCGTCCTTCGAATTGACACGGCGCCTCATCCGTAATCGCATTCGTTTGTATCCTTGATTTTAGGTGGATATGAATTTCATGAAGAAGATTCCCCCCGGCGCCGAAGCTTCCAATGTGTTGGTGGGAGAAGTGGATTTCTTGGAGAAACCCATCATCGCTTTTGTTCGACTGTCCCCTGCGGTTCTGATCACCGGCCTCACTGAGGTTCCCGTTCCCACAAGGTGCTATGTTTCTTTCAACATAAAGACGAATAGTGCGTTAGACAGGTTATGTGGTAGGCAGGTACGTTCATGTTCGTAAATGATTGTATGCACACAGGGTTCCGTATCTCGATCACGCATACATTGAAATTACGAATTTGTATTGTTCATGTGTGTCTTGTCCAAAGGTTCCTGTTCCTGCTTTTGGGTCCTCACGGGAAGGGTCCTCAGTACCATGAGATTGGCAGATCGATGGCCACTCTGATGACAGACGAGGTGCCATACAGAATTTTCACTTAAAGCCCTTAATTGTTTTGTTTTTTTCCATTTTGTATTCTCTGAGATCATACGTGAAAGCAATATTTAAGTTCATTCAAATACATCGAGTACATGCATCGATGCATTTTATTGAACTTTGCCGCCTTAATGTACATTCACTTTTTTAAAACTCAACAAAACGGTTCTAATTTCCATGATGCAGATTTTCCACGACGTGGCATACAAGGCCAAAGATCGAACTGATCTCCTATCTGGGATCGATGAGTTCCTTGATCAGGTGACGGTCCTCCCTCCTGGAGAGTGGGACCCCACGATCCGGATCGAGCCCCCTAAAAACGTCCCGTCCCAGGTTGGTCAAGTAAAACTTTCCTTTTTGAAAATTACATCCTGCTACCACGTAGTGTCGATTTGAATTTGTTATCTCAGTTCTTTTCTTTTCTTGTACTCTCAAAAGACTCTTTTCAATTCCATTGTACAACTCGAAAATATTTTTTTTCCTATTTTTTATAAACAAAAAAGCTGTCATTGAATAAGGGTGTGTAGACGTTTTATATTCACTGCTATGGTTGTGAATGTCCTCTAACTTGCAGCTAAAGAGGAAGAGGCCATCGCATCCAAATGGCACGGCATCCCCAGCGGGAGAATTGGAAAAGGGAGATGACCACCACGTGGGACCAGAGCTGCAGAGGACCGGAAGGCAAGTCGGAAACATTTTTGTGGCACGATAGCAAATCTTGAAAATAATTTCAACACCTAGGTGGGGGTTTTTTTCATGCTCATTGGCTTCCGCTCCAGTTTCTAAGTATGTAATTTATAACTGTGCTTAAAAGAAAATCATCTGTGATAAATCTTAGTGAACCAACCGGAAAAGTCAAAAATAACAAATCCTGATCCAAATCATCTGCGTTATAAAGCAACATGCCATTGTTCCATAAAAGCGTTTTAGAGCTGTAAATTTAGTGAAGAAATAACATTTGTGGGAATGGAGAGTGTAAAACATTTTAAAAGTCAGCAGTGCAGGAACCTGTGTTGCTGCCGTTTGCGTCTGACAGTGACCGATTCTCCTGGGTTGTCGCCAGGCGTACAGTGGAGCTTGATATAAACCACACACGCACACACACACACACACACACACACACACACACACACACACACACACACACACTGCACGCTAATTTATTTACACGTTCCCCCTCCTTTTTCACCGTTTCTATAAAAGGCACACAGCCAGCAGGTGCCTGAGCGCACGTCAACGCAAGGCGGCTTCATGTAAAGCTCGCAGAAAGTGGAGCAGTGTAAAACATACATTGCTTTCAAAAAGGCTGGCAACAGTTACGGTCCAAAAAAATAAAAGAATGCTTCACAGGAGAACTCGATAACTGGGTATGGGCAGACGCAGCAGAAAGGAGATAATAGCCAGGGACAGATTTGAAATGCAAATCGGGTCATTAACATTCACATTTGATTCATCGTACCTGTCTTGTTTTGTAGGATATGCGGCGGTCTGATCCTGGACATCAAGCGGAAGGCCCCCTTTTACTGGAGCGACATCAGAGACTCCTTTAGCTTGCAGTGTCTCGCCTCCATTCTCTTCCTTTATTGTGCCTGTATGTCTCCCGTCATTACGTTCGGAGGTCTGCTTGGGGAGGCCACCAAAGGCAACATCGTGAGTTTGAGAGATTGTTCCTCGAAATGTCCAAAGTTATGCTTTTACCTGACTTTTTAACTCATGAGTCTTAAATTTTATCCTCTGAACTGGCATCTTGTTTCTATTGTCCAGATTACATTCATTTAATAATTATGATCATCTGTAGATGTTGCAGCAGGCAGTCGCTTGGTTGTAATTGAGCCACTATTATTCGGTTCAGTCGCTCGGTGTGTCATAAACTGTGCTGCACAGAGATATGACAAGCGACAAGTCGGCAGGATGTAAACATTTGGACAGCTTATCTGGACACTCTCACACGCTCTCAATTTAATCAAAAGTCTGTTCTGGCAGGGTTCTTTTTTTTTTCTTTCTCTCTCCTCGCAACCCCCGGTCTCTCTTTACCTCACTCACACCTTCTCGTTCCTCTCTTCAGAGTGCCATAGAGTCTCTTTTTGGGGCGTCATTGACTGGAGTAGCATATTCCCTCTTTGCCGGTCAACCTCTAACTATCCTTGGCAGCACAGGACCTGTTTTAGTGTTTGAGAAGATCCTCTTTAAGTTCTGCGCGTAAGTTGAAGCCGTTTACCAGTGATATTTTACATATATTGGCAAGGGGGAGGGGGCGATATCCGTAAGCAGCCATTTTAGTCTTTTTCCTCTTTCACCTCAGCGACTACGGACTGTCCTACCTGTCGTTGCGAACAAGCATTGGTCTGTGGACGGCCTTCCTGTGTCTGGTCCTGGTTGCTACGGACGCGAGCTCCCTGGTCTGCTATATCACCCGCTTCACCGAGGAAGCTTTTGCCGCACTCATCTGCATCATCTTTATCTACGAGGCGCTTGAGAAGCTCTTCCACCTCGGAGAGCATTACCCTGTCAACAGCCACAACGTCCTGGATAACCTCACATCATATTCGTGAGTATTTGCATTTGGGTTTAGTTTTTTTTTTTTTACTTTCAAGAAAGAACAGACCGTGTTGATTGTCAGGAACTGGGATGGATGGATGGATGTTCAGTAACCACCTGTTAAACTATCGAGGATCGCCTCCTGCTCACCGAATGAGAGTGAGGATGTGATATGAAAAATTGATGCACACGGTCGATCAGGGTTGTCAAACTCATTTTTGTCGTGGGCCTGATTTTAGTTACAGAGTCCCTTGGAGGGCCGTTATGACTGAAGCCATATAAAGAAGTCAAGAATAATGTTTGATTCACCGATTGTGTTGGTGACTGTAATGGGGGGTCGCAAGAAAATTCAAAATCACTCCTATTTATTACAAATGAGAATTTGAAATTATGGTTGAGATTGTAGCGAGCATCATGAAAGTTGACATTGTTGATTTGCTTTTGCGGCCATTTAAAATGATGTGGCGGGCCAGATCTGGCCTTGAGTTTGATATCCGTGTACTCGATGTTGTAACATAAATGCATACATCACAAACGTATAACACAAACCTACCAAATACTTTGCGTCTTAGCTTCAGTATACTGGATGTCTTTGTCACGGCACAAATCCACATTTGCTCGTCGACTGTCAATTTCTCCGCAGCAGCTGAAAAGTAAACACCCCAGCACGGCAACAAAGTGGAAAGAATGGAGTATATCAACAAAAAAGAATTCTTGGCAATGAACAGTTGAAAATTGTATGACACTATAAATATTTTTGGAGAAGGTTACTTGAGCTGTCAATATATTCATGTTGTCCGTACCACGGGCAGTAAATGAAAGAAATCATATGAAAGCATTCCGCCACATCTCCAAGGGGGCACACTTCTGTGCCATGTGGTGGAATGACTGAGACTGGATGAACACCCAAACTAACTAGTCTTTTTTTGTTTTGTTTTTTGGAGCTTGCTAGAATTACATTTTCAACGGTAGCGGGAGCCCTTTTAACCCTTTCGGGGACAGCGGTCACTACAGTGGACAGTTTGTCATGTTATCAGGTTACAGGTTGTCCTTATTGGTGCATGAAAGGGTTACAAGAAAAAAAAGCTCCTGACTACTACTGTACATTCAATCCCAATATTTATTGGATTTACCGAGCCTTTCCCTCAACCCGCCCGAAAAAGATTTGGATCAAGAACACAAAAATCAACACGTCAGAAAATTATGAATCCTTCTTTTAAATCCGCAAAAAACATTTTTTTTAAATCGGATTTGCGAGATTCAGTTGGATGCTCACATCAAAGGTTTCTCACAGAGACGAAAATAAAGTAATTTATTGGCCACGGGGCAAGTTCAAAATGTACAAACGAAGATTATTATTTGTCATCCTGAATTTCTGTTGCCTCCAGGTGTCAGTGCTCTGAGCCAGCGAATGCCTCCGCTCAGCTCCTGCTGAAATGGAACCAGACGGGATACAGTGCAGACTCCATACCCTGGAGTAGCCTCAATGTTTCGGTGAGCCGGCCGCACAGTGACCTCCAGCGTCGAAGGCATTTAACTTCGGTCACATTTGAATGACCGTCAAATTTGCTCCAATGACTATACAGTCTTAAATTACTGTCCTATGGTTTCTGTAGATGTGTAAAATGCTCAACGGGGAGTTTGTTGGCACAGCCTGCGGTAACCATGGACCCTACATCCCAGATGTTCTCTTCTGGTCCATCATTCTCTTCTTCACCACCTTTTTCTTGTCCTCTTTCCTCAAGCAGTTCAAAACAGAGCGGTACTTCCCCACCAAGGTTGGTGTTTTTTTTTTTTTTTTTTACATTTGAGAGTTTAGAGCAATATTGATCTCAAAATTGTGCTAGTAAAAATTGTCTGAATGTGATTGCCAGTTGTCACATGGAGAATTTTGTGGACCCAAAGCACAAATGCTTCAGCTTCCAGTTAATCTTCACTTATTGTTCTGTGTTGGCTAAAGTTAGCTTGGTCTGAATTTTTTTTTTTGTTTTGTTTTTTTTTTTTTTTTTTTTTTTTTTTGTTAGGTGCGATCCACAATCAGTGACTTTGCTGTGTTCATAACTATCATGATTATGGTCTTGGTGGACTACTTAATGGGGATCCCTTCCCCGAAACTAAACGTCCCTGATCGGTTTGAGGTAGGCTTTATGTCTATGTATATATCATTGATGTAAATGATCTTCTTCCGAGTCGAAGTTTAACACTTTTCCAGGCTGTCCAAACTAAATCTGGCACACTTTTGCCATCTTTCCCCGCACAGCCTACTTCAAAGAACAGAGGCTGGCTGATGGACCCATTAGGCGAAAACCCCTGGTGGACGCTGTTGGTGGCAGCGCTTCCTGCCCTGTTGTGCACAATTCTCATCTTTATGGATCAACAGATCACAGCTGTCATCATCAACCGCAAGGAGCACAAGCTCAAGGTCAGTGCCAGAGTTTTCATCGTTGGAAACTTTGCAGGGGAATTAATGAGGAAGTGGCGATGCACTGAAAATATTAAAAGCTATGGTGCCGGTTATGTAGTGGGAACTTTAAAGGTAACTGGGAAAAAAATTGAGTATTTTATTCTTAAAATTTAAATTTCTTAAAACAATTCCCATGCGTCTGTCTTTAAAAAAAAGGGCACTGTAATTCTTGCGCTAAAATAACCTCAGCATCAAGGAATCCAGCACACATAACACACTTGTCACACACTTGGCTGAAATCACTCTTATCTAGGATGCGATTTTGTAAATTTTTGCAAATGATGACTACGGCTTCCGTTACCAAAACGACCAGGGGGAGACTTCTCAACACCTCTCACAACGATTGTTTTAAGATTTTTAAAAAAAAAAAAAAAAAAAAAAAAAAAAGCAAAGGGTACTTCATCTGTTTTTGTCTAGTGTTATTTGAAACCGCTGGGTAGGCTGCGACTCACAGCGCCGCTCATGTCCAGACTGCAAATAAATTGTTTCCGTCGGTGAAAATGCATAACCAACGTTGACCGTATAAAATCTATCATATAGATATCTATTTTTTAGTGTTCAAACTTGAAAATACTCCTCCCCAAAACCGTAATCACATTGAGTCTTATTTGAGCACACTTTTCTACTTGATCAACCTACAGAAAGGCTGTGGCTATCACCTGGACTTGCTGGTGGTATCATTCATGCTTGGCGTGTGCTCCGTAATGGGCCTGCCCTGGTTCGTGGCGGCCACCGTCCTCTCCATTTCGCATGTGAACAGCCTCAAGGTGGAATCTGGCTGCTCCGCTCCCGGAGAGCAGCCCAAGTTTCTCGGGATCCGGGAGCAGCGCGTCACCGGGTTCATGATCTTTGTCCTCATGGGCTGTTCGGTTTTCATGACATCTGCACTCAAGGTGAGAAGCAAAGTGAATGAATATTTTTTCCCCTTCGTGCAAAGTTTTCGATAACTTCTACTCTTTGCAGTTCATTCCGATGCCAGTGCTGTACGGAGTCTTCCTCTACATGGGGGTCTCCTCTCTGAAAGGCATCCAAGTGAGTTTCTGAAAAGGTTGCCCAATGAGAACATGTTTCCAAACGCTTTCCTGATTCGTTCCTTTTATTCCCGCCGCAGTTCTTTGACAGAATCAAGCTGTTTGGCATGCCTGCCAAACATCAGCCTGATCTTATTTACTTGCGCTACGTGCCGCTGTGGAAAGTCCATATCTTCACCCTGGTACAGCTCACCTGTCTGGTACTGCTTTGGGTCATCAAGGCCTCTGCTGCAGCCGTGGTTTTCCCCATGATGGTAGAAAAGTCACACTTGACCCTTGACACACTGTGAAAGTTTCACATTTTTAAACAGGATTACAGCATTGGTTTTTTTTTTTTGGTTTGTTTTTTTCACAGGTTCTTGCACTGGTCTTTATCCGGAAGCTTCTTGACTTCTTCTTTAGTAAGAGAGAGCTGAGCTGGCTTGACGACTTGATGCCAGAGAGCAAGAAGAAAAAAGAGGATGACAAAAAAAAGAAAGCACGGGCAAAGCTGGTACTTCCGTTTTGTTCACATTTTTTCTCATGTTGTCGACTAGTGGGGGGGGGGAGCCGTGTAATTCAGGAACAAGGATAAATTGAATCTTATTTTCAGGATTTGGGGCCAGGGAATTGTAATTTGAATTCGATTCTATTTCAATGAAAAATCGTTGACAAATCCATCAAGAGTTTTGCTGTGCAACAGCGTAGTTTGATCCAGTATTCTCACTCATCCTTTAATATATATATTTTTTTGTTTGTTTCAGGAAGCAGAGTCTCGATTGCAGGACGAAGAAGAACTGGGACTGCCGGTCAGCTACGAGGGCTCCAACCTGCTCAACATCCCAGAAAAGACCCTCTCAGGGAGGTTAGTCGCACCCACTTTTAAAAAAACACAATGAAATCATGTTCCTTTTTTTTTTTTTTTTTTTTTGTATGGTACCTCCTTCGCTATCATTTCTAAAATGTCTTGAAGCATACGTCGAAGTTTCAGTGACAGTGAGGAGATGTACTTTAGGGGCTGACATGACCCAAAAATCGGTCAGAACGTTCTTACTGTATGTCCATCTCGAACAGATCATACAGAATAGGAGTAGTCGCAGACGACAGCCTCCGGCAGGAAGAAGAGGTAGCAAGACGGTGTGTCTGGAAAACTTTTGATGCACTTGACTGCGTCCTAACCTTTCACATTGATTCTCTAGAGTCAGTGAGCGCATGGCCCAAACTGTCACAAATACGCAGACTTGATATCAAACCGACTTTTTTTTTTTTTTTTTTATGTTCAAATAACTTAACTGTGTCTGCATATTCAACTAACCTTACTACAATGTTCATCATTGGAAACTTAACATGGCTTATTGCTGTAGTGTGTCATTCCGTCACCGATATACTGTACGTGCATGTTTGTCCTGCAATCCCGTTGATTTATTTTTTTTTTTTTAACGTCTGCCTGCCTGTCTTCTCTTTGTTGGTGTTTGTGTATTTGCATTTTGGCACGTAGTTCTGAGCTTGATGCCATGGTTATAAATACCTCTGATGAAATGGCCCAAAATGCGGCGTGGAGAGCAGTGAACTTGAGCGGCGACTCGCAAGGCCAACATAGTGGAAGGTAGCTATGCAAAAAAAAACCAAACAAACCCCAAGTTCTAAAATGATGCAAAAAGGTTCGACCAAACCAGACGGAAAATGACTGCAACAGGTATACAGTATTTTCTTCTCTCTGCTTAGCAGGGGACCTTCTTTGCTTCCACGCTGTGTCTAAATCCATTAGAGCTCAGTGCTGCCCTGCATGTTGCAATAAAAGTTGTTTATTATTGCAAAAGTTGTTTTCCTTGCACGTTTTTTTTTCCTTCATTATTGTGTTCAGGGTGGTCCTTCTCGTGTAATACGTTTTGGACTAAAGTCACCGGAACAGCTGTTACTTAACTGAACTCCAGTGAGGGACATGACTTGACTTGACATGACTTTTGAGCCTTTATTTTTATAATTTTTTTTTCTCCCTAAGTCAAAAGTGGACCATCCACTGTCTTTCCTGTATTCTCTCACGCACGATCTCATCTGTGCCACTGTGCCTCCATTCTTAACAGCCGGGAGAAAGCGGCCTGCGTTAGAGTGGACGTAAGCCCGGAAGCACCAGGAGAAAGTTCCACCGCAGAGACCTTCTTGTGATACACAACTCCTCCCACGCGACACAACAGAGCTGAGGGGGCATCGACATAACTGTATGCGCAGCTTAGCCTGCTAAGCTAGCTTCAGCACAGCAGGTGAGCATCACTTGGGCTGTGCGGGTGACCACTTTGCCATGTCAAAGTGCTATGAATGCGGCGTAGACGACAGTATTCTGCCCCAATGTCCTGACTTCATTTTTTTTTTAACCATTTGCACCTGATGCCAAAGGAATGGGCCTCACTGGTGGGCATCTTCGACTGAGTGTCGTTTTAATTTCAGTTGTATTATCGTGGCCATTTTAGTCCGTCGCCGTACTGCGTTTACCGGGGGTGTTCAAACTTTTTCGTTTGAGGGCCGCGTACATAAAAACGGCCGCTTGAAAATTGGACATGTTGAAACTGGTGCTGTCAAGAGATTCAAAAAATGATGAGATAAATTAATTATGATCTGTAATTAATTGATCTAATTAATCTACATTTTAATCTCATCTAAAAATTTCTGAGAAAACCCCTATTTCGCTTGAAATTCATTACATGATTGAGCATTGAGTCAGATCAAAAGATTCACATCACAAAAAAGTGGTACCGTATTTTCACGACTATAAGGCGCCATTAAAAGTCTTAAATTTTCTCCAAAATGGACAGGACGCCTTATAATGCGGAGCGTCTAGTGTATGCGCCGAGTTCCAAAGCCTGACTAAGAGCCCCCCTGGCGGACACGCTGTTTATATAGAGAAAAGGTGGACGTGAGTGACGACAGGCATGCGGAAGTCTGCCAATGAGTGAAGGGTGGGCGTGTAAGAGGACGCCAAAGGTACGTCCCTAGCAGGTACCAGTCGCCAATGAGTGAAGGGTGGGCGTGTGAGAGGACGCTAAAGGCACGCCCCTAGCAGGTACCAGTCGCGTGAGTACATTGTAAAATGGCTAAATAAAGTACACCAAACTCAGTTTTGCTTCCGTTGCCTTTTAAAAACGTGTTTTTAGCGTGTGTCCGTATGTCTAACATACCTGGTATGTTTTAGCGTGCATGCATGCTACCGTATGCTTCAAGCTAATGTGTTTTTAGCGTGCGTGCATGCATGCCGTATGTTTCAGCTGGCGTATGTTTTACCATGCCTGGCTGCTCCCAATAATACAGTGCGTTTTGTGTATGTCTCAAATACAGAAATAGCACCCGTTACTGAGACTGCGTCCAACAATACGGTGCGCCGAATGGTCGTGAAAATACGGTACTTTAAAGTATTTTATTGTTTTTAAATGGACTTGAACAGATGCAGTCCAAGGCATTTATTTTCTGCTGTATTTTAGACTAATCCCAAATCCTACCTGTAACCTTTAGTTTCGACCACCAGGTGGAATATCACTGTTTTGTTTTTGTAAATCTCCAAATAATTACAAAATTAAAATAAAAGAGAACACCAGGTCCATAAAAAGTGCTTAGGTTAACATATCAAAAACAGTAAGAACACTTTTCTGAGCAATACAAGTACTGAACACGGAACTTGCTTCAGATAATAAACAATCAATAAAACAGACCTTTAAAGCACAGTACTGTAAATTAGCACTTCAGAAATGTTGCTGATGCTAACAAGCCCAAACATAATGACAGCCAATCAATGTCCGCTTCCACCCTCAACAACTCGAACACAGGAAGCCAACACATAAAAAGGGATATTAGAAAAAGGCAACCCACCTACAGAAACAATAAAGTTAGCGATTAAAATTTAGATTAACGCCATTAAAAAACATAACGCGCTAAATATGACTGTAATTAATTAATCACAATTAACGCGATAATTTGACACCTCTAGTTGAAACACGCTAAAGTCAATCAGGAAAGGAATGATATGTTGTCGAGTTAATGTCATCATCCTTTCTGGGGTGGCCAACGGCCCTCTGTCTCACAGAATAGATCCGGCACTGCATTTGATAGCAGCCGAATCCCATCTCCACATTCAGAACCCAAAAAAAGAACTGTAGGAAGGTGACCATTTTTCAGTTACTTGAGGATCATCAATGTGATGTCTTCATAAATCGGCCATGAAGCGCAAAGTGGAAGAAACAATTTTTTGCCTCTAAAATTTAATTATCTTTTTTCGCCGCAGTGTTTTGAAGATAAATTGTGTTATTCTTTTAATCGTAAATGGTCCATTTGTATCTTCGAATCTCGAGAGTGGTTATGCCACAAATGACCCTTGGGCCGTCGTTTGAACACCCCTAGCATATACAGTATGTACCGCTCACAAGCACTGAGCAGCCCGGCACAGTGAAGGTCATGTTAGAGATGACACCAGCGCCATTCAATGAAGGCCATTCAGGAAAAATCCATGCCAGTGGTTAATGTCCCATAATTGATGTGTCAAAAACCATAAAAGAGCAAAGAATTAGACAGAACTCAACACATACTGTTACATTATCGCTGGTCAAACAATCACCTTGTAGGGATTTTCTCTTGTAAGAGAACAGTGCTGCTTAAATTTCATTCATTGTTATCATCAGAAACATATTTTATATATTATTATTATTT